GGTTCAAAGCTTCATGCTACCTTTGATTTCGACTTTACTTTGTTTGAATTACACTATGGTTAGATTCAAATCGAAAGATATCTAATCCTTATGCATAAGTATTGTACAATATGAATATGAAATTTTATTGAATTTTGAATAAGTGGGGGATTGTTGGAATTGTTGTTCAAAACCAATAAAAAGGGAGTTGGAATGAAAATTGGAAAAGGAAGCCAAAAGCTTGATCTATGTGACCGCATAGATCATAAGTATGCGATCGCAAGTGAATGTGCAGAGATTTCAATCACTGTATCTGTTTCTTCTATGCGATCACATAAGATTCTTCTATGTGGTCGCATAGAAGATATATATGATTATTGAACTGTCATTCTTGTTTGAATTTTTTATGGTTATTTGTGAAAAGTTGCAAACTTTTCGTTGTTTTTTGGCGTCATTTCGTGGGTATTGATGATTATCTATAAATAAATAACATGAGATCAATATAAATATATTTGGAAACATTATTAAATCCATTATTGAGATAAAATCATTTCAAAAACAAAGAATCAATATTCTTTCATCCATATTCAAAAACCTCTTTGTGTTCTTAACGTTTTGGTAGATAAACACAAGTGCTTAAGTGTTTTCTATTACAATGCTTTGTAACGTCCCGAAAATTTTAGAATAGATTTTAATTATTTTACGTGCCATATTTTTATTATTTTGAAAAGTTGGGGGGGACTAAAGTGATATATGTATTAACTTCAAATTTTGGGCTAAATATTTAAATATTGTTAAAGCGATGAAAAGTATATCAATATGGGACTCGTTGGATAGCTCATAATTAATCATGTAAATTAGGCTTAAGACTTCTTGCTTCGATCAATTAGCAAAATTTTTCTGTGGACTTCCGCAAATCTGTTTCTTGTAGCTTGGGACAAAAAATCCTCTCTAAATAAGACTCATTATGGGGTGCAGTGCTAAAAAATTATTTCGGACAAGTTAATCTTAAGATATTGAAGTTCAAAGAAATTGTAATTTACTTATTTATTTTTTAAATCAAATTGAATTTGGATGAGGGATAGCCACATGTATCTAAGGAATTGATGTGAGATAATTTTTTAATTTGATTAGAATTCTATTTGAAGTCAAAAGTTTCCATCACTATAGCGTATTGAGATTAAAATCACCTTTTGTTGTGATAGGTATTATGTACACATGTCATATTATGATTTGTTTATTAAAAATTCAATTCTTATCCCATTTGATAAATACGATTTTTCCATCACAATTGTACTAAGACTCAACCACTATATTTTATACTATAAATAGTGTGCAATTGTCCCACAATTCACCACCAAAGAATTTTACACGGCAGCTTTCATATAGAAAAACTGTAAATTTCTAGTATATTTTTTTTCAAAAGCTCATTTGATCAATTAAGGTAAGATACTTTTGTGCAAGTGGTTTGTTTCCTTATTCTTTTGTCTATTCAATTAAATATGCATGAATTGTTAGTGGACCTTTGAGTTCTTTATAAAGAGATATGAAATCCTTCGTGAATTCAAGATGGCCTAAGATGAGTGTGTCGATTGATCACCGTTATACTCCATAAGAGAAAAACGATATGAATTGTTTATTTTATTGTTATATAATTGTGTATAGAAACTGCAAGTATCTTATTGGATATTTTTAAATACACACTCTTACAAAATTTTACAGGCTAGTTCGGGTTATTGTAACAGCGATGGGATGGTGATGCGACTTCCAAGAGGAATCGAAGAGATAAAAGATTAAATTAATTTTTTTCTTTAAATTATTACTCAGTTTAATTTGTTCAAAACGGTTACTTAATTTGTGATTATGTTTTCATTGGATATTCCAATTATTTTTATTTAAAGAATATTATTTTAACGTTCACAAAGAAAATTGAATTTTTGATAACACTTCAAAAATTTATGAAGTTTTGGGGTGTCACATGATAAATCCTACAAACCATTTGCCGAGAAACCCTTTAAGCATCAAATTCATCAAGAGGGGACAAATATCGTTTGAGGATAGTGATTCTTCTATGAAGTTGTTGAACATTTATTTCCTGGTTTTGGTTCGTAGCTTTCGTCTCAAATTTTTTTATGGAGAATCAATTGAAGATGTTGATGATTATTGCTTCCGGATTTTCTCCAACATCATTCGAGTGGAAGTGCTTTCGTTGATGTTCTTGATCATTGGTTCATTGGTTTCTTCTCCAACCCTTTGTGTGAAGGAATGATGATTTTCCCAACAAAAAATATAACAAACTAAGCCTTGTTTCAATAAATTTGGTGTCGGGAACATGAGCCTCTTTTTCTTGACTCCATTTAGTTAATTCCTAGGTCTACTGAAAGATTTAAAACAACTAGATCCCTAGAGAGAACGATTCATATTACCAATTAAGTCGGAGGGGACTTATCCATGGGAATATTTTCCAGTTGGATTTCCTCCCATTAAAATCTTGTCTATATGGAGGATAATTGGCTTTAGATATGGTGTTATAGTTGTTGTTATTAGTATCAACTATGGAATCTCCAAATACAAAAGGTGCAGGAATTATGATTTATTTATTTATTTATTGGTAATTTTTATCACTGATTCACCAAGACAAATAAGAAATGAAAGATAAACACGTTGTTCTCTTCGTGTTTCGATTTTGAGTTTTAAATTCATTTTGGGTTTTGTGTTTTGAGTGTTCATTTTGAGATTGTTGAAAATGCGTTCTTTTTATTATTTTGAAAACTTGTTTTCAAAAATAAAAAAAATGAAATTTTGACTTGATTTTAACTGAAAACAATCAAAATGACTTTTTTGATGTTTTCCATTTTCTTTGTAAATTTTATACTTTTTTTGTAAATTTGTTTCTGAAAATAGGTAAACAAACGTGTTTTCAGTGTTTTCGAAAACTGAAAATAGCTTGGAAATAGCATCAGCAATAAAAATGAAAACATTCGAAAGCACTAAAGCAGAAGAACTATAATGTTATCAAACACTACATGCAAGCCCTTCAAGGTCGGCCCCGAGAATTTTGAGGCCCTAAACGGCTTATTATTTTGAGGCCCTTAAACGTATAAAAAAAACATAGAATAAAATAAAATTACAATCCTAAAAGTACTTAAATATTTAAATAAATAATATATTTACATTTTAAACAAAAACTTTGTACAATTCAAAAGATAAAGTAGCAAATTCAAGTTATTTTCAATAAATCAAAATTGAAAAATACTTAAATAATTAAATAAATAATATATTTACATTTTAAACAAAAACTTTGTACAATTCAAAAGATAAAGTTGCAAATTCAAGTTATTTTTAATAAATCTTGGATATTATGGACTCGTGAAAAATTTATTTTGAATAAGTCAAATTCAAGTTATAACTCATTAAAGGAAATTATTGGAGGTGTAATATTGCTTTCCAAATTAAATCATATTAACATAACAATATTGGACTCATTTGATAGCTTGTAATTAATCATGTGTGTAAAACTCAAGAAAACATTATTTTGGATAAGATTGAACTAAGTTAAAATCGACCCAAAAAAATTATTGTTAAATAATTTTTTAATTAATCCATCTTTTAGAAATTATAATAATTTAATTGGGCTTTTGTTATGGTTTTCATTTGGAGGCCCCCGTTATGTGAGGCCCAAAGCCATTGCCTAGTTGGCTTTGGCTTAGGGCCGGCCTTGGGACCCTTCTCCAAGGAACTTATAGGCTAAGTTGTATGAGAAAATTTCACTACTAAGAAGTTAAGTTTCACCCATTTCGAATTTAAGAGAGAAGATTTAAAATTTCAAATTTCAAATTTCAAATTTTGTAACGTTTAAAATTTTAAATCTTGGATTTTTTAAAATCTTATTTATAAATTAATTAATTAAACATAAATTTTATTAATTAAATATATTAAGGTCACAATTCCATATAATTTGGTCACAAATCACAAATTTTACATGTCACAAATTATTTTACGGTCACAATTCAAACATTTTACACGTCACAATTTGTTTATCGTTCACAAATAAAAAATTGAAACGTCACAAATTATTTTACGATTATAATTCAAAAATTTTACGTCACATTTTGATCATCGATCACAAATCAGAAATTTTATAAATCACAAACTATTTTACGGTCGCAAATCAAAAATTTTATAGACCACAAATTATTTTATAATTTTATAAGTCACAATTTGTTCATAAAAAATTTGTACGTCACAACTTATTCATCGGTCAAAAATCACAAATATTATAAGTCACAACTTAGTAAATAGTCACAAATTGTCAAATTATCGATCACAAATTAATAATTTTTTAGGCCACAAATTTTTATTGTTCACATATTATTTATCAGCCACATATTAACCAATTTGATGGTCACAAGCAACCAAATAATATGTGACCATAACCAACACTTGTGACCACCACCTCACCACTCCCATCAGCACCACCATCGCCACCATCGCCGCTAGAACCACCACCTCTCGATATTTAACACTATCTCAAACAAATTAACACATCACATAAAATCACCACCACATTGTCGCGTCAGATCCACCACGACCTCGACAGACCTATTGCCAACAACATCTCGCCATCACCACCGACCACCACAGCCGCCATCCACCACCAACTAAAAACATACCTAAAAACCCACATCAGATTGTTGAGCTGTGATCTGGACATGATGGACAAACCACAACCAACACCACTACCAAGATCCACTACCACCACTATAGCACCACCATATCCAACATAACCTCCACCACCGTTGGATTTAACAAAACCACGGTCGCCCAAACACCACCACCACG